AGAGGGACACATGACGTGATGATACACGATGGGGGACATAATTATCACCTCTAGGAGGCCTGACTCCAGGTGCTCCATGCAGCTGGGGACACACACAGAGGGACACATGACGTGATGATACACGATGGGGGACATAATTATCACCTCTAGGAGGCCTGACTCCAGGTGCTCCATGCAGCTGGGGACACACACAGAGGGACACATGACGTGATGATACACGATGGGGGACATAATTATCATGTCATGCGACGAAATGTTTTAATATACGGTGGGGACATATCATGTTATGTGACTCTAGGTGCTCCATGAAGCTGGGGACACACACAGACACATAAGGGGACATGTTATGTGACGAAACGTTTATATATGGTGGGGACATATCAATTGACTCTTGGTGCTCCATGAAGCTGGGGACACACAGGGCAACATGAGGTTTAGTTCTAGTTTGAGTAAGAGTTTTACGGCTCTTGCAACACAATAAGGTCATAATATAAGTGCCAAAGATTAGAGGTGTTACAAGAGTACAAGAGAGTAACAAGTACAAAATTGAAGGAGGAGAGATCAGGACGATAGATGTATGATAGGAAAGAAGGAGCAAACCACACTAGAGCACCCACCAACCACCCACAATGTTTATCCGTGACGGCGCGTGACGCACTGTTTAATCACAATGGGATCATATCACATGACCCAACAATTATACACAGACGCCACAATAAGATATCACATGACCCAACAATTATACACAGACGCCACAATAAGATATCACATGACCAAACAATTATACACAGACGCCACAAGAAGATATCACATGACCCAACAATTATACACAGAGACACAACAAGAAGATATCACATGACCCAATGTTTATACACAAGACATCACATGACCCAATATTTATACCCAAGAAGACATCACATGACCCAATGTTTATACACAGAGACGCCACAAGAAGATATCACATGACCCAATGTTTATACACAGAGACGCCACAAGAAGATATCACATGACCCAATGTTTATACACACAGACGCCACAAAAAGATATCACATGACCCAATGTTTATACACAGACGCCACAAGAAGATATCACATGACCCAATGTTTATACACACAGACGCCACAACAAGACATCACATGACCCAATGTTTATACACACAGACGCCACAACAAGATATCACATGACCCAATGTTTATAGACATTTCTCTGACAAGAAAAAATGTTTACAAACTGAAACACACTACCAAGACAAAATATTGACCGATTGATATACACTGACGAGACCGATTTTTGTTTTATGTTTTGACTGGAGTCTTACGGCCCTTGCAACACAATAAGGTCATAGAAGTGCTGAAGATTAGAGGTGTTACAAGAGAGTGACAAACACACAAAAAGAAGGAGGAGAAATAAAGACGATAGATGTCTGATAACTAAAGCAAGGAGCAAACCACACCAAAGCACCCGCCAACCACTCACTGAGAACATCAACCATCTCCAAAGCTCACCAGGCTTAGACTATTTAGTTTTAGTAAGAGTTTTACGGCACTTGCAACACAATAAGGTCGTATAAGTGCCGAAGAACAGAAGTGTTACAAGAGAGTAACAAACACAAAAAAGAAGTTTTAATTTTAGTAGAGGTTCATTAAAAAAAAAATTTGTGGAGGTTTTATGGCGCTCGCAACTGCATGAGGTCATATGAGCGCCAAGGGGTGGATGTCAACAGAGAAGTCATTACAGGGAATCAAGCTTACTCTGCTCACCTCTCTAGCTTCAACAGCATAAAGTCTGCTTTGACTATCAAGGCACCCCGAAAATAACAGTTCACAAGAGTGTGACAAACATACAAAAGAAGTAGAGGAAAATGACGATAGTAAGGATGAGGAAAGAAAAAGCAGCAGTTCCCTGTTGTAGATCAGGCACAGTATGAGCATGACATTGACAAGTCAGCCCATTTACAATTCTACTATGTATAAGAACATGGTTAATATCCCCTTTTTGGCAATGGTCTAAAGACAACTTCAGTCAGTAGTACTGCCCGGGGGGGTCAATAGATATTTGATAAGAAGCAAGGAACAAACCACATCCGAGCACCCGCCAATCACCCACTGAGAATGTCAACCATCTGGAAACCTCACAAGGCTTCGACTCTGAAGTCGTGACAAACACAGACCAACTCTCATCCAACCACCAGACCTCAAGTAGGAGTGTACTTACTTGGTTTTGATAGTGGTGACTACCTGGTGTACATAGTTCTGATCCCACGGCTGAAAACAGAAACAAAAAGAGTTGTTTAGGTAAGTGTTTTACGGCACTTGCAACACAATAAGATCATATAAGTGCCGGAGATAAGATGTGTTACAACAAGAGAATAACAAACACAAAAAAAGAAGGAAGGGAGATAAAGACGATAGTTGTTTGATAGGAATGGAAGGAGCAAACCACACAAGAGCACCCACCAACCACCCACAAAAAAGAGTTGACAGTGTCACTGTATAGTATGTGGGTCAAGTCAGGGACATCTGCGAGTCAGTAATGTCGTGACCTCCGTGCTCAAGACAATGGACATAAAATGGTCGCTTTTAAGGACAAGCGGGCTAACCCAGGTTTCGGGAGTTTCCAGAAGTCTTGACCTACACCAGAAGTGGGCATTGCCCTACCTATAGGAGAAGTTTGGTTTCATTGGTGTGTATATTTGTTTCATTTTTAGAGAAAACTCTCCTCGTCTTTTAATGAAACTGAAAAGGGGGCAAAAACTTTACCTTCATTTTTCTCAAAACAGCAATGTGAAGATAGACAGAGGCTTAGTGTAACGGGAAGATAGATTCAGGCTTTGCATAATGTCAGGATAGACTCAGGCTTAGCGTAATGAGAAGACAGGGCAGAATCAGGCTTAGAGTAATGGCGGACTGACCTCAGCGATGAAGAGCACGATGACGCAGTCTCTGCTCTCCTGCTGGTTGAGCGCGCCGATGAGAGAGGTGAGTGTCTTCACCAGGTACGACGCCTTGTCTCGCTTGATGGTCGGCAGACCTATGGCGATGTTCACTGAGGGGAGACAGGAGGAGAAAAAGGAAAGTTCAGTTCCCATTTTGATTTGCTTAACTCTTTAAGTATGAAAATTTTTCCACAATTTTACGCACCCACGCGCTTAGGGTGCTACTTTAAACTAGCTAAAGTTTCGTAAAATATTGGTTGCTTTGCTTTTGGGGAGTGGGGTGGGGGGTCCGTTGTTCTTATTTTCACCAAAAAACAACAACAAAACAAAAACCGAAGTCCGGTGAAAAAGATGGAAACCGTTGTACATACACATACTTTGTTTTGCTGAAGTTTATGCACTTCCTTGTTTTAGTAAGAGTTGAACAGCACTTGCCACACAGTAAGATCATAATGTAAGTGCTGAAGATTAGAGGTGTTACAAGAGAGTAAAATACATAAAAATGAAGGAGGGGGAGATAAGGACGATAGACGTTTGATAAGAAAGAAGAAGCAAACCACACCAGAGCACCCACCAACCACCCACACAGGAGGAGAAAAAGTAAAGTTCAGTTGCCCATTCTGATTTGTTTAACCTTGTGCGAAATATCCGGGATCATCTATAGAGGTTGCTGCAATGTCTTACTCCCAATTTGTTTTAGAGAGCGTTTTACGGCATAATTACCATGACAATTAGTATGTATGTAGTATAGGGTTTTACGGCGCTCGCAACTGGTAAGGCCATATGAGCGCGCGAAACACAAGTTGTTTATTTTCGCAAAAGTTTACTGCACGGTTGGTTAGCTTTTAGCCTTTAAAATGTTAAAATTTTAATAATCAGTGTAGACATATATACATTTTCGATCTAAAATAATTTTTCAAGTTAACATAAAAATTTTTAATAAAATCAAATTCACTCTACAACTCGCCATAAAGGCCAATGGCCTTTATAAAATTTAAAATTCTGCTGGGAACAGCGACGGAAAAAATATCTTGTAATTTCTTGCATTTATAGAATTTCCTTCGGATCTCTTCAAAGTCTAGACATTCTGTTAAGATGTGTCTAATGGTAAAATCTGTGTCGCATTCGACACAGAACGGCTTCTCATCTCCCTGT